TGTTTAATCAGTTAATGTTTTGATTACATGAAAATATTGGCACATTCTTTTTTTTTTTCCAGGCAAGCGTGTATCCAACGTTTCACCATTATGGTTACAAAACACCTTTCTTCTCTACTGATAGAAAAACAGTTCAGCTTTTCCGGGCTGCCACTCCATACACCCCAACATTAAGTGAACTAATTATAGAGAATATTGAGCAACTATTAAAGTGTGATGCTGAGTTTACAGTGACCATCAAGTATTATTTTATTGGAGAGACTGCTGAAGACTTCAAAACTGACATTGTCTATATGGTGAGAACATGTGCAGTATGTACATTCTTACACTGATGACTTCATTGTTTGTTAACAGTATGGCTGCACTGGTCAGTTTGTCATCGGAGTGTCATCTGTCTGCTTCAGGTCATGTCCAGAGGAGTGATCGTTCATCATGGATATGAGAAGGTTGAAGTGAAGTCTTCTAATGGAGCAGCAAGTGGCACAGTGTCGTTCAAACTGTCTGTTGGTGCAGATCTGGCTCCTGCAGTGCAGATTCTGGCCTACTGTGTTCTGCCCAGTGAAAATGTTGTTGCTCGTAGCACAAAATTTGACATTGAAAAGTGTTTCAAAAACAAGGCATGTAAAAAAATTAAAAAAAAACATCTGCCCATTTACACAATCACGGTAATTCTGGTTCAATACTAAAATGACACACCCTACTGTTGTCGTCACAGGTTTCTCTGCAGTTTTCTCCTGCTAAGGCAGTTCCTGGTGAGAAAAACACTCTCCAGCTCTCAGCTCAGCCTGGTTCACTGTGCGGCCTCAGTGCTGTAGATAAGAGCGTCCTGATCCTGAAGCCAGGAGAACGTCTGGATACTGACAAGGTGTAAATGCTTCAAGATTCTAGTGCCTACTATGTTCCTCATTATTGTTTAAGGTGACTTGGGTGTTAAAGGGATAGTTCACCCAAAAATTATCCCAAGATTTACTCACCCTCAAGCCATACTAGGTGTATATGACTTTCTTATTTCAGACGAATATAATCAAAGTTATATTTAAAAATATCCTGGCTGTTCCAAGTTTTATAATGGCAGTGGTTAGTGCTTCCGCTAACTGTCGTGCATGCGTCAAACAAAAACAAAACACTGGTCATAAATTAGAAGTACAAAATAAGGATTTGTAACGAAAAATGTCGGAGGATTTCGATATAAGCCAAGAGGAGACTGGTTTTCTTTTGTTGTAAACAAAACTTAGTCCTTGAGAGACTAGCATATTCTCACCAGAGCTTACGCTACAGCTATCATCCGCTGGAACGCCACTCTCTTGTGAATGTGCGTAGGACAGTTAGTGGAAGCTAGAGATTACTGTTTATAAAGTTGTACATATGGATATTTTTCGTACTCAAATGCATCGATTCACTTCAGAAGGTTTTTATTAAGCCCCTGGAGCCGTGTGGAGTACTTTTTTATGATGGATGGATGTACTTTATTTTGCTTCAAAATCTTGACAACTATTCACTGCCATTATAAAGGTTGGAAGAGCCAGGACATCTTTTAATATAACTCCAACTGTATTCGTCTGAAAGAAGAAAGTCATATACACGTAGGACGGCTTGGGGGTGAATAAATCATAGGGTAATTTTCATTGTTGGGTGAACTATCCCTTTAAACCTCATTTTCTTTCCCACCGCAACATAAAGATTAAGAGGTACCCTGACATGAATTATTTAGTGTGAATGTGCTCTCATTACAGATCTTCAATCTGCTGCCAGTGCAATCAGTGTCAGATTATCCTTACAGCGTTGAAGATGAGCAGGAGTGTCTGCATGTGAGACCCCGTCGAGCTGTACTGACAGACAACGCCTATGAATCCTTAAAGGTAAGAAGTGGATTAATATGTGTAAAAGTGCAGAAGATTAATTGAGTACCTACATGGATAAATATATCAATGCATGTGCTTAAAATTCCTGTTATTCTGACAGCTACAAAAATTTGTATTTTATTTATATTACATTTAATGTGGTTCATTTTGCTGTTTGACAGAGTGTGGGGCTGAAAATGGCAACAAATTTGGCTGTGCGAGTCCCTAAGTGTCTGTCATACAAGGGCTTGACTTATCACAGATATGAAGATATAGGTAATATCTATGAGTTCATTAATGCATGCATTTGCTATCAATGATTTAATATGACTGGAATTCACCATTATTAAGCACTTTTTCATAATGGCACTGCAAGAGCACAAATGACTCTTTGTTTTGTGACATCTGTCTGATCTATAAAGTTATTTAAATCAGCAGTTCTCAAAATTTGTGACATCAAGGTACTAATTGCAAGAGATACACCTCCCAAAATGTAAAGGATCATTTATTCTGTGAGAAAAGTGTGAAATTATAAAGACAATATGTTTAAGTTTAATGTATTGGCTTTTATATTCTTATTATACTTATTATTATAAGTATTTACAAAATACTTTGTATTTTGTTGACATTGTATCTGTTTTTTCACACTATTTGATGTTAGCTGTACAAACCTGAAATGATTTTTTTTTCAATTCAACTTTATTTATAAAGTTATACATGATTTATAGGCCCCTTGATAAAAAAAAACTGATTTAAATTTATTAGCATATTACAAAACATTTAGAAATAAATAACAGTATAAACAGTAAAAGGGAAAATATCATCATGGTTGAAATGTTGTCATTATAAAAGAATATACTGTAGGTAGTTTTAATGTTGTGAACACAATGTTGTGAATATAGTTTAGATATTTCAGAAAGTGTATAATGTGACAGAGATACGAGACAGTAGTTCTGTACTAAATTGCTACAGTACATGTTCTGATTCAGGTATCACATCATATCGTGTGCTTTTTTTGTAGGGATGCTTGTGTATTCCAGTGAATCTGGTATAGCGTTTGATTTGAATTATGAAGATTCTTCAGTTGAAGTGACAGTTCGTACTGTCTTTCCTGAAACATGGATTTGGCAACTTGCTGCAGTTGGGTTAGTGACAATGTTGTTATCTGTCAACATCATTTAACATCATATTAAAACCACAATACCTGTAATGCTTCTCTTGGCACTGTGCATGCAATGAGATTGTGTTCAGAATACATAAATGCACATGTAAACGAATATGTGAATTGGATTGCAAAGTTTAGGGTTCATATAAACAGAACTTTCATTGGATTCATTCGGACTGACGAAAATTAGACATACTAGAGACCTACTATGAATCAGATTATCATTGTTTTATATCTGTGCTGAATGTTGTAAAAACAAAACAGCATCTTAAAAGTCTAATCAAATACTGTTGTAATTTCAACACAGGGACTCTGGATCAGCTCAGGTTCCTGTCACAGTTCCTGACACCATCACCTCTTGGGACACGGAGGCCTTCTGTCTGTCCTCCACAGGTCTGGGTCTGGCTCCTCCTGCTCAGCTGACAGTTTTCCAGCCCTTCTTCCTGGAGCTCTCTCTGCCTTACTCCATCATCCGTGGGGAGATCTTTGAGCTGAAGGCCACTGTCTTCAACTATCTGTCCAAGTGCATCATGGTGAGACTTCAGACTCAGTCTTATCCAATCATATCAAATATGCCACTAATCATGTGTGTTTGACTGACAGGTTAAAGTGACTCCAGCTCCTTCCTCAGACTACACTCTCAAAGCCTCCTCTGATGATCAGTATTCATCCTGTCTGTGTGCTAATGGAAGAAAAACCTTTAAATGGATCCTCACTCCTTCTGTTCTTGGTGAGTTTTCCAGTCTGAATCATTGTTTCTCAGTGTTTGTGTCTGTTGTATCTTCACATACATGTCTTGTGTTGTAGGAGTCTTGAATATTACAGTCAGTGCAGAGGCAGAGGCGTCCCAGACTGTGTGTGACAATGAGATTGTGAGCGTGCCAGAGAGAGGACGCATTGACACAGTCACACGAAGTCTGCTTGTACAGGTCAGCGCACATCAAACGGCTCTCAGACATAATTTCTCTATGATCCTAATGCTGCTTATGTCAGTATGATGTGTTGATGTTACTGTTTTATTCTGCAGGCTGAAGGAACTGAGAAGACAGAGACCTACAGCTGGTTACTGTGTCCAAAGGGTTTGTCTGCAGACAATATTTAGCATCATATAGTGTTTCTCTGCTGATCACTGATGTGTGTTTCTGTCTCTCTGGTTCATAGGCAACAGTCTCTCAGAAGAAGTGAATCTGACTCTTCCTAAAGATGTGATAGAGGGATCAGCCAGATCCACTGTTTCAGTCATTGGTAACATTTACATACACAAGCAGAAATAAGTAAATTAGTATGGAAATTAGTACATATACAAGCAGAAATTGGATTTCTAAAATGTAGTGTATTATTTGTGTTTGGTTTGTAGGAGACATATTGGGTCGTGCACTGAGCAATCTTCACGGATTACTACAGATGCCGTACGGCTGTGGAGAACAAAACATGGCTATTCTTTCTCCCAATATTTACATTCTGCAGTATCTGGAAAACACAGAGCAGCTCACCTCAGCCATCCGAGAGAGAGCCACCGGCTTCCTTAAGAGCGGTGAGAGAAATCAATCATGTTAAGAGAATACTGAAATACTGAGAAATTAAGTCACAATACATTTGACTTCAGAAACACTTGCTCAACCCAGAATGTTTAAACTCAACAGGATACCAGAGACAGATGAACTACAGACATATTAGTGGTGCATACAGCACATTTGGACACGGAGATGAGAATACATGGTAAATATTTGTAACTTTTCACTCTCACCTTTTTCCTACATAGTTACAAAGTTAAAATTTGTATTTTTACTTTACATAGATGGTATTTAGTTTCAACAATTTATGTATAGACTGTCAAATGATTAATCGCAAGTAATCACCACCTTTTATTATCCAAAATAAAAGTCTGTGTTTACATAATATATGTGTACTGTGTATATTTATTATGTATATATAAATACACACATACATGAATAAATATAAAGGAGTAGTTCACTTCCAGAACAAAAATTTACAGATAATGTTCTATAATATATAAATATTTTATACATAAATATAGCATAATTTTCTTAAAGCTGCTGTTATGTGGGGTAGCTGGAGGAAACAGGCTGAGGCGTGGATCTAGGTGCAGGTAGTTTAATAAGACGACAAAGTGAACAAGAAACAGGAAACACTGGGAACAAATAACCAAAGCACGGGTAGAAACGACACCAATAACATTCAACAACTGATAAAGCACAAGTGAAACACAAGGGCTAATTATACACAGTAGAACACAAGGAACCAATGAGTTACTATGGAAACTAACAAGGAGTGGGTGTGGTCCAATGAGTGTCTATGGCAACTAATGAGGGTAGCTATGGAAACAAACAAGGCACACAGCAGACAGGGGCAAAACACACACAAGGAACAGGTGACATAGCCCCCACCTAAGGAGCGGATTCCAGACGCTCCAAAAACAAAAGACAAAACATATGCAACAAAAGTCCAGGAGGGTGGTGGAGCGGAGGCGGAACAGGTGGAGGGAAGGTGGGCCAGGCTCATGGGGTGGAAGAGGTCCTGGAGACTGAGGTGGAAAAAGTGACCAGGGCAGAGCAGGCAGTGCGGGAGGCCAGGGTGGAGCAGGTGGAGCAGAACAGCACCAGGGCGGAGCAGATAACCACCACAGCAGAGCAGACAGGAGCAAAGATCACCACGGGGGAGCAGATGACCACCACAGCAGAGCAAATAACCACCAATGGGGAGCCAATGAGGCAGGTGACCACCAAGGTGGATCAGGTAGAACTGAAACAAAGATCACAGAGAAGTTAACAGCGGCCTCCTTGGCCATAACAGGACAGTCAGAGGGTTTAAGGCCGCATCAAGGCAGACACCACAGTTAGTGGACATTGAGTGTTTAAACTAGAGGTCTTCACGGGTCCACTTGGATCCGAAAACCCGAGGTCCGACCCGAGACCCGAGCGGGTTCGGGTCCAAAATTTTTACGAGTGCTTCGGACATGGGTCGGGTTCGGTATTAGCGGCCTCGGGTCTTGGGTAATTTAAAATAAATGTGTTTTTTTTCAAGTGGACCCGATAAGACCCGAATTCTTTTAAACTATCCTGAATGTGTACTTGCACGTTCACGTTAAGTGAGGAACGCACATAGAAAAGGAGCATACGTTTGTAACCTCGCCAAAAGAAATCCATCTTACAGATATGAGATCCATCAGGAAAATTCACTCTCTTCATTACGCTGCGTATTCATGCAGGGCTTTTCTTTTTTTGTGTGCAGAAGCCTTTCGCCAGAGATTAGGTTGCAGACAACACTAGCGAAGCCATGAGTTATGCTATGATCATGAGTAATACTTTAGTTTAGCTATGAAAAGCTATCGATTAAATTTTTATCAAACTATCACGTTTATTTTTCAAATCCACTGGTCACAACTGAAAGTCGAACTCAGAAATAACTTGTATCCATCAGGCAGGCAATAATATAAAGTAATAACCAAATTAAATACATGTTAAATAAATTAAAGTAATGGAGAAGCGGCCAAATCAGTCAGCAGAACGCCAGGATTTTCCTGACTGGCTGCATGGCGTTTACGTATCAATGGCGTTTACGTTCGGGTCCAGTCGGGTTCGAAAATAAATGCAGTCGGGTCGGGTCGGACTCGGGTCTAATTTCATCGGGTCTGTCTCGGGTTGGGGTTTTCTTTTTGAAAAAATAATTTATGCACGTCGGGTTCGGGCAAGAAGTGATTCGGGTCGATTCGGGTCGGGTGCAGATTTTAGGACCCGAGAAGACCTCTAGTTTAAACCCAGCCTCGGTAGCCAAAACAGAGCCATCCGGGGACACGAGGAGTTCAGAAATGGCCTCTATGGTAACAACCAAGCCGTTAGGGGATGCAAAGTGTTCAGTAGTAGCATTCATGACCATAACGGTGGCATCTGGGAACACAGAGAGTTCAGAAACAGCGTCCATGGCCGTAACAGAGGCAACAGAGAACACAAAGAGTTTGGAGGAGGATGCCGTCACTGTCTTGGAAGAAACAGGCTAGGTGTGCACAGCCCAAACACACAAAATGGCTGTAGCCATCAGAGGGAGAACAGAGAACAAAATGTCTACTTCCGAGACGTTGCGGGCGGCGAACTAGAAAGTGCTGAGGCTGGCGAGCTAGAGTGCGTATCGGCCGGCGGGCTTGAGAGTGCTGAGGCCGGCGGGCTTGAGAGTGCTGAGGCCGGCGAGCTAGAGTGTGTAGCGGCCAGCGGGCTTGAGAGTACTGAGGCCGGCGAGCTAGAGTGCGTAGCGGGTAGTGAGCTAAAGTGCGTAGCGGCCGGCGGGCTTGAGAGCACTGAGGCTGGCGAGCTAGAGAGCACTGAGGCCGGCAAGCTAAAGTGCGTAGCGGCCGGGGGGCTTGAAAGCGCTGAGGCCGGCGAGCTAGAGTGCGTTGCGGCCAGCGGGCTTGAGAGGGCTGAGGCCGGTGAGCTAGAGAGAGCGCTGAGGACGGAAAGCTAAAGTGCGTAGCGGCCGGCAGTCTTGAGAGTGCTGAGGCCGGTGAGCTAGAGTGCGTAGCGGCCGGCAGGCTTTAGAGTGCTGAGGCCGGTGAGCTAGAGTGCGTAGTGGCCGGCAGGCTTGAGAGTGCTGAGGCCAGTGAGCTAGAGTGCGTAGCGGCTGGGGGGCTTGAGTGCGTAATGGCTGGCGAAGGCCTTGGGATGCCGGCTGCTCGCACAGATGTCAGCGGCAGGTCCGCCATACTGGACACCAGTCTCATCCGCCCCAAGTCGGGTCCAGTAGCAGAGATAGTGCAGGCAGTTAACATTAGTGATGGCCCAAGCTCCGTGCAAACCGTGTTTCTGGCTTATCCTGAATCAATACAGTACACCTATAATAAGCTTTTATATTCAGACTATTTTAGACTGGTTCTGGTAGTAACTCCTGCAGAATAGCCCAGTATCTGCATGACCCATTATAGACATAAACAGAAAGAAAGTAGCTCCGGCTACAATGTTCTTCCGCAAGATGCATTCGGTTCTCTTTATTTCTCGCAAAAAGTTACAGACTGCAGCTTTAAATATACACATGCATGCATAATAAATATACACAGTACATACACGTAAACACAGACTTTTATTTGGGATGTTATTAATCGCAATTAATTGTTTGACAGGCCTAATTTAATCAACTGAAACAACTAATGACATTATTTAAATGAAAACTTTCAAACACCAGGTTGACTGCCTTTGTCCTGAGGTCTTTTGGCAAAGCACAGAAATACATATTTATTGATCCACAAATTATTCAGAGTGCAAAGGAATGGTTAATAAGCAGACGGGATTCAGACGGCTGTTTTATCCAACAGGGAAGACTGTTCAACAACAGAATGAAGGTGTGTTATCACTAAACATTATCACAGAAACAATTCCCTTCTATCACAAAAATATTTTCTTTGTTCCTCTAATATATATTCCAGGGTGGAGTGAATGATAATGTGACCATGACTGCCTACATTACTGCATCACTGCTTGAACTGGAAACTCCAGTCACAGTAAGTTAATCTGGTAAATTAAAGTAAGGAAACTCATAGAAAAATACTCAGTATAATCTCATAGAAAAATAATGCTCACAGCGGCTGTTTCTCTGTGTTTTTTTTCTTCTCAGGATCCTGTCGTTACTAAAGGTTTATCATGCTTGAAGTCCGTCATTGAGGATGTCAAAAACACTTACACCACTGCTCTGCTCACCTACACTTTCAGTCTGGCTAGAGACGCGGACACTCGACAGCAGCTTTTCAAGAAACTGGAGGATGTTGCTATTTCAGAGGGTAAGAGATTTGTTTCTGATGACTTTCTGTTGTCCTATATGCCTATACTTTTTTTTTTGGTCATGCTTGTTGAATTACTGGTGTCTCTTTTGTCCATGTGTCCTAAAGGGTCTCGTCTCCACTGGTCTCAGTCTGCATCTGCTGATGACTCTGATTCTCTGGCAGTGGAGATCAGCTCATATGTGCTGCTAGCTGCTCTCACTGCAGATTCACTCACTTCAGCTGATCTGGGCTTTGCTAACAGGATTGTCAGCTGGCTTGTGAAGCAGCAGAATGCCTATGGAGGATTCTCCTCCACACAGGTGACCCAAACTACTCAAATCAAACACATGATTGCTGAATAATGGGTAAAAATCACATTACTGAACACATTAATTTCTCAGGACACAGTGGTGGCTCTTCAGGCTCTGTCTTTGTACGCCACCAAAGTGTTCAGCTCTGATGGCTCCAGCACAGTGACTGTACAGTCAGCAG